AGTTGGGTCTGGGGAACCAATATCTGATGTTCATGGGAAGAAGTACTATGAGTTTGATGAGGTCTAAAATTTCCTCTCAAGGTTCATGAACTCTGGTATCTGACATTTTTACAGATAATACCGAGTAAGAAACTTAAATGGTATCCATGCTTTGACGTTCCTAGATCGAGGTTCAAATGTGCAAGACTCACAGTTCCTATGGACTATCATCGGCCTCTTAATGAATCGGATGATAACCCTAAAGTACATATTGCGTTAATTCTAATACCTGGAAATCATACCGGGGATAAATTCTCCGAATCACCATTACTCCTGAATCCAGGTGGCCCCGGAGGCTCTGGTACATTGTTTGGTTTAGCAGCCGGACCATTGATTCAAAATATTGTTGGCGGCGATCAAGATGTGATTGGATTTGATCCTCGAGGTATTGGAGCAACGACACCACGAGCCGATTGTTTCTCGTATGGAGGGACATATGATGGAGTGGGAGATGATCAGGCACGGGGAGATTACCACAGACTACTCTTCAACACCGCGGGCCAAGCAATCGGTCTGGCTAATACGAGTTCAACAGCATTGCGACATCTTAACGCACGTGCAAAAGCTATGGCAAAATTGTGCGCGGAGAAGGATTCTTTGAGTGGACAAAGCAGTATTTTTCGACATGCCGGAACACCAAGTGTTGCAAGAGATATGATTAGTATCATAGATGCGTGGGATGATTGGACCTCGAGTATAAAAGAAGAATCGACATACTATAATACTGCCGATTTTGATCTTCCTATTCAAAGAGAGCCCGAAGATGCAAGTTTAGAAACAAAGGGTAAATTAGTGTATTGGGGTTTCAGCTATGGGGTATGTACCTTCGACCGTCTCGTGGCAAGTACTGAATTCTCTAGACACTTCTTGGATCTACCTTCGCAGCAATGTTCCCGGATAGAGTAGGCCGACTTGTCCTGGATGGTGTTGTTGATGCTGATAATTATGTTGCTCCTATTGTAAGTTCAACCGGTCACTACAATCCTTCGCTTTTGCTACCTGATCCTGATCCCCGGACTCAAATTTCATTTGTATCTTTCATCACGTAAACTTTTTGGGATCCCGATATAAATTCTATACCTCGCTTTTTATCAATTTGTTTCAAAATTCATTCCGTGATAAGCGACACTGACTCCTCAATTTTGCAGTGGCTCGAGAGTCAACGAGATGCAGACAAGGTGTGGTCATCGTTCTTCAGATACTGCCACGAGGCGAAGTCTGCGTGTCAATTCTACAGGAAGACCGACAAGGTAACAGATATCGAGGAGAGGTTCGAGTCTGTTATGTGGAGACTAAAAGAGAGCCCGATATCTCTTGTTTCAAAGGACACCTTAATACCCTTTCTCGTGACCTATTCAGACGTCAAATACCAAATTTTCCAGACGCTCTACGCTCCCCTATATGGGTTTCAAGCTGTCGCTCAATTGCTCGATATCCTGGAACGCAACCCCGAAGATTGGATTGAGTTTACTCCAACACCTCCGTTGAACGATTTCGAGTTCGTTTGTAAACACTCTCAGCCAAAATGGAGTTATTTCGATGATGCGCAACGAGTCATTCTTTGCAGTGACAAGAAGTACCCAGTAAGCATATTACTGCACGAATTACTTTTGAAATTCTAATTTGTATTTATAGCTCAACCACACATACTCTGAGATTGAGAGCATGTTCGAAGACATGGAAGCCCAATCAGCATTTGCGGATGCATGGATGTCGCTCATGATACAATGTTCTGGATATGATATTCAAAGTATTGATCCCCCCATGCGATGGGATGACCATCCAGCACATAGGCAGAAGCCAATTAAGACTGCATTTCCACTGCTTTATATTAGCAACAGCGCAGATCCTGTCACACCATTATTCGCAGGAGTAAAGATGGCCACAAAGTTCGTGGACGCGGGCTTCTTTGAACAAGAATCCGAAGGACATTGCACTATAGCTGTGAAATCCAGATGTACCATTGAGAAAGTCAGAGCTTACTTTCGTGATGGAAAAGTTCCCGATGCTCCTAGGTTCAGAGGAAAGGGATCAGATTTGCTTGAAGGGGAGTGGGAAAAGTGTCCCGCTGATGAATGGCCATGGCACGAATATCAACCAAGTGCCCTGGTAACAAACGAGGTAGAGGCTGCAGAATTGGAGCGATTAGATGCATGGGGTGGTATCCGGGACGCTTTTGCCCAAATTGATCTCTGGGGTGCGAGAGAGTTCAGAAGATTTGACATTGCCTTGTGATTTAGCATATATTGACATATTAGCATAGCGGGAGTTGGGAGTTCGGTAGGATAGGCATATAGATGCTGATTGAAGAGCGGCTCATCCTTTGTTTTATTTTAGTAGAGCTGCCTGAATAACTATTGCACGCTCGAATTCTCGGTGTCTTTTCTCAACAACAATCCAGATATTGAAAAGCTATGTGAGGAGTGGATCTGCAAACACTAATGCGAATCTCATAATCGGTGGAAACTTATGTAATGTCACGTGTGTATTCATATAGTGAGGTCGTTGAGAGTCGATATTATCAAGCAAGTAGGTAGGAAGAGGGTAAACAGAAGAAAGAAGCTCATTGTATCTTTCAAATTACAATACAATTCTAAACTCATGTTATTTTGTATCCATCTAGGTAGGTAGCTGTGTTCACCTACTCTGTACATTTGAAGTGCTAAAGTCATCTTAGAACATCGCACAGACCAACTTCACACTCCACTACGGCGACCTAGATGGTCCAAAAAATATTTCGAGATGGAACCAAAATATTGTCAGTGGCACCAGTATTTGTAAATCCCACTCAAAACACTCTTTTTCTTTCTTTCCTCTAAATCTCACATTCAAAATGCCGGCGTTTGCGAGATCAATTACTCCTTTCTTCCAGACAGCACGATCTGCGCTGCGTCAGGGTAATGCTGTCAGTCCTTTACAGCATGCTTTGAGAAGACAAAATGGAGCTGCTGTGATCAATGCTGCTCGCTCATATGCTACCGCTTTCGAGCGCTCGAAGCCGCATGTTAATATTGGTATGGTGGCTGTTCCTATGTGTATGCCACAAGGCATTTGCTAATTTTATACAGGTACAATTGGTCACGTCGATCACGGAAAGGTACATCATATCAACCTCGAAAGCCCCGCAGAGGCAAATAAATGCTAATTAGATCATGAATCTATAGACCACATTGACTGCCGCTATCACCAAAAGACAAGCAGAGAAGGGAATGGCCAATTTCCTCGATTACGGTGCCATTGATAAGGCTCCCGAAGAGCGAAAGCGTGGTATCACCATTTCGACTGCCCATATCGAATATGCCACTGAAGCCCGCCACTACTCCCACGTCGACTGTCCCGGTCACGCAGATTACATCAAGAACATGATTACCGGAGCTGCCAACATGGACGGAGCTGTCATTGTCGTTGCTGCTTCTGACGGACAAATGCCTCAAACCCGTGAGCATCTTTTGCTTGCCCGTCAAGTCGGTGTTCAAAAGATTGTCGTTTTCGTCAACAAGGTCGATGCTCTTGAGGACCCTGAGATGTTGGAGTTGGTCGAGATGGAGATGCGTGATCTCCTCAGCACATACGGATTCGAAGGAGAGGAGACCCCTATCATTCTCGGATCCGCCCTTTGCGCACTCGAGGGCCGCAGACCAGAAATCGGAACCGAGAAAATCGACGAGTTGATGAACGCAGTTGATACCTGGATTCCAACCCCACAACGTGACCTCGACAAGCCTTTCCTCATGTCCGTTGAGGATGTTTTCTCCATCCCAGGTCGTGGAACTGTCGCCTCTGGTCGTGTCGAGCGTGGTGTCCTCAAGAAGGATTCCGAAGTCGAGATTGTTGGAAAGGGAGACCAAGTCATCAAGACCAAGGTCACTGATATCGAGACTTTCAAGAAGTCTTGTGACGAATCCCGTGCAGGAGACAACTCCGGTCTTTTGCTCCGTGGTATCAAGCGTGAAGATGTCCGACGTGGAATGGTCATTTCCGCCCCAGGACACACCAAGGCCCACACCAAATTCCTCGTCTCCATGTACGTTCTCACCAAGGAAGAAGGAGGACGCCACACTGGTTTCCACCAAAACTACCGACCACAAATCTTCATCAGAACTGCTGATGAAGCTGCTGCTCTCCACTTCCCCGACGGAACTGAAGACGCCGATTCCAAAATGGTCATGCCAGGTGACAATGTCGAGATGCAATGTGAGATTGAGAAGCCTTGCGCTTTGGACGTTGGTCAGCGTTTCAACATCCGTGAGGGAGGACGAACCGTCGCCACTGGATTGGTTACCAGAATCATCAAGTAAATCATTTAATGCATTAAAACAGTAGAGAAGGGCGAAAATGGAATGACGCATAACGTGTATGAAACGGAAGGGAAATAATACAATGCAAACGCATTGTATAAAATGAACGTCCAATGAAAACGAAAGGGAAAGATGGAAACCCGGATGGAAAAGAAAGGAAGATTATAAGAAAGTGGATCTTTTATTGTATATTTGAATAGCGAGAAAGGAGTTCGTTTATTCAATGTTACACATGTAAATTTAGAACCCTTTCTTTGTAGATTACAGCAATAGCTGGGTGGCTTTTTAGCGGGAAATGAAAGATAGAACTCCTCTCATTTCTGCCTCGGGTGATGGTTTCTTTTGATGCACTAACAGTCTACTCACAATATTTGACACATGTATAGAATGTAATTTGAGAATATAATTGCTTCATACAGAGCTATCTAGCTTAAAAATGGATTCAAACTGAACTCCAATGTTTAAAATCAACCGCCTTTGCTTCATGTTCGCTCACTTCATATGCATTGCAAATTATGTATGCAAGCCTCTTTACTTTTGTAAAACAATATACGTAACAATGCCAATGTCATTCGTCGCTATCTTCATCACATTCGTCTTCATCGTCATTCATATCATCAGCATTATTAGTCAAGTTTACACCTCCGCTCCACTAAAATGAATTCAATCTTTTTTCTCTTCCCTCAGTGATTTCAACTGCGCTTCGAAATCCTTCTCTACCCATTCAAAGTAGGTTCTCCATGTCTGATGTTGGCTGCTTTGTGCACCCATTCCTGTGCTAGCTGATGGAATTCGAGCATGCAAATTCAGCGTTGAGCGGAGAGTACTCTTGACTGCATCATCCTGCTTCTCTATTTCTTGCTTGACGGCTGATTCCTTCAATTTGACCGACAGAGTAACGCGGAAACAATCTGCAATTGCGTCGAGGCGTCGAGCTGTCTCATCAGGATCCAGGATGACCAACTTGTTCAACATTAGATTGCAGAGAGATCGGATATCGTGCTCATCTTTCAAACCGGCGATAATACGATCGTAAAAATCAAGAATGTTCATACGTGAGAACGCGGTCTCCATAAGAGCATACAACGTTTCATATGCACTCTATAATCTAGATTAGCGATGCACAACTAAAACTATAAGAAGAATCCTACCTTTCGGACCTCTAGACCATCATCAACTTTATGTTTGAAAGGTCCCATCATTACCTCATGAATCAACTCTTCCTTTATTACCGATTCACTCATAACAAATGGAAGCAACTGATTGAGATTGGGGTTGATGAGATCTGCTTTGTTATGCGCAGCAGCGTTCAAGGTAGTCAGTGCCAACCGACGGTTCTCCAACTCGGTATCAGTCAGCATGACCTTCAGCATATCAATCAACATGATCTTCAACACTGAATCGAGTGAGTCGTTACTATCAGATAAGGTATAACGGATTGCTTGAATAACCATAGCTCTAATTGAGGCATTTGAGTCAGACAGATAGCCCTATAAAAAAATCATTAGCGGATGCGAATTCAATACCTTCCAGTTGCAACAAACCTTTAATTGTGGCATAAATGCCTTAGGATCAATCATTGTCAAACGACCAATGCACTCTGCACCAACGGCCTTATTGTCCTCAGCTTGCGAAGCGGCAAGTAATCTTTCCCAAAGAACAGTAGTGTGCTGGGTGATGGCAGTAGGGTTGTTGCCAGCTTGCTGAAGTATTTCCTTGATAGAATGTAGAAGTAAAAATTCATCTCCACCTTTAATCATATTCAAAATCTCTGGGAGATACAAAGATGTGTCTCCAGCTCCCGCGCGTCCTAACGCGATTGCTGCAGCAAGAGGAACTTTGTCATAAGAGGATCTGAAATGAGCTGTGAAGGTGGATGGATTCAATGGTGATTTTGCACCCAACTGTAATCCAGCTTCTCCGAGAACAGCCAAGGCTAAGCATTGTCTAGCTTCATCCGAGGAGGGATTCTGTAATTCGCTTAAGAAGTTGTCGAGTGTAACTCCGACTGAGGACCCTCCAAATACCAAAAGCGTGCCAATAGCTTTTCCTACGACTGTAGAGTCTCCGCGAGTACTAACATCTCTCAATAAACCGGACATCAGAGGTTGACCAACTCCTTGTTTTCCGATATTGGCGACCAAGAGAAGGACGGCGTCAAGTACAGCGCCACTTAATGACGAGGTTAATAATCCGCAAAGGGCAAGATTTAGCTGGTCAGTAACAACAAGCTTTGCTTCATCCATTACCAAAGTAGCCAGTACCAGTAGTGCCGGACCTAGAAGATGAAGATCAACTGTGGTTAAGAGAGGAAGAAGCGCGTCGATAAGGCCTTGAACTGTCGGAGCGTCGAGAGAGCTTCTAGCTGCCGGAGAAACAACGAGATTCTTCAGGGCCCCAAGACTTGCACCGCGAAGCGATCTGTTGGCCTTTCGGAGTTGCGCAGCAAGCTCTAGAGAGACATCTCGAATCCATGGTGGCTGCAGTTGGCCTTTGGTGGTTGGACCAACCTCAATTGATCCGACTGCAATAGTATCAACAGCTCTTACAGCAGCGAGGCGAGTGGTTTCATTCTTTAGTCTATCACTGAGCAGAGTGAGAGCAGAACTTCGGTTAGTTTCTGAAAGAAGTGATAAGCCTTCGGGACTTGCTGTGCGAGCAAGCATGATACCTAGAGCATGTATAGCACGTTGACGAACTTCAACATCTGCGTCGGTAGCGGATACCCGATCGACGATCACTTGGTATAATTTCAAAATATCTTCTTGTTGAGTCGATCTCGCTGGTTTCGATCTCGGAGGTGTCAAAGCCTTTACGAGTTGTTCGGCTGTACCGACAGCCTCACCAGAAATCTTGTAAAACCTATCATGTACAGCTGACGCTACACATGGAATGATTTTAGGTAGGTGTGGTTGTAACACGCTCGAAGAATGAGTTTGAGCAATATCACCCAACAACTTGAGAGCAGCAATTCGCAGAGTATTTGCAGTAGCTGAGGCAGCACCGCCACTAGTAGTTGCAGTAGAGGATGAGCCTCCCGATGTTTTGATAGAATCTATGATAGGATCCACAAGCTGACCAAAGTGTTCTGAAAGCCCTCCAACCTGAACTGAAACCATTCCGTCCAAAAGGTTGATGAGAGCTTGCTTCGTTGGAATGGGGCTTGTCTTGAGTAATCTGACAACAGCCTTTACAATCACAGGGGTCAGTCTTGCCAGGTCTGTTCGGGGGCCTGAAACGGGGAGTGGCTCGATAGTTGGTGATGTCAGACCAGCAGATCTTGAGATAAAAGATTTAGTATCAAAAGTGGCTGACCCAGCACTCTCTCTTCTGCGCTTTCGACTTGGAGGCGCTTGATTTGCATGGTTTAAAGACTCATCCGGCGAAAAGTTGACTAGGACACCCTCTCCAGTTTTCCCAATTAAACATGCCATGGTAGCAATAACTTCAAGTCGAACGTTCTCCTCTCGTTCATTGAATCTCTGGATAAGAGTTGGAGCCACTTGGGCGTATAGAGTTCCATCGTCGAGTAGATCACCACTACCTCTAGTTGAGATCAAGGTATAGAGAGTTTTCGCGGCACATCTTCGAACTTTCCAACTAGCGTCGTCGTCGTCGTCGTCAAATCCAGCGTCCGCCTCGAAATCATCGTCATCGTCGAAATCGGCCATATCATCTTCATCGGATTGAGTTCCTCCCATCTCGTCGTCATCATCGTCATTATAGTTTGGATCATACTTCAAAAATCTGAGAGCTGCTGCGATCGTTTCTTCTGTATGAATTCGCATTTCCGCACCACAAGAAGCTAAAAAGCCGTCCAGTGCCACAAGTGCAGATTCCCTCACATCGTCCATCTCAGGGTTACTTTCACCATCTTCCGCGGAGTTTTCAATCTGATCTTGAAGTTCTTGCTCGCTCAGCGCAGAAAGCACAAATGGCGCAAGAGTTTTCAAGTAAGGGCCGAACCTCAAAGGTATGGATCTAGCCATCGATCCGAGAATAGTAATGTATAAACGTCTCTGTACAGGGGTCAAGTGTGGATTACGAAGACACTCGATGATATGAGATACAAAGCCACTGAGATCGGAATCCGTCAAATACATAGCAAGTAGAGACACTGCAACAACAGCCCGCTTCTTGACGACAGAACTAGCCTTCTCATTCTCTAAGATGCCGATAACTAAACTTTGTAGCGCTTCGACTTCTGCGTGCTGCAAAAGAGGGCCAAAGCATCTTGCAACTTCTATCAAAACATCAACAGCATCTGAGTCGATTTCGGTATTTGTGGAAGGATCAAGCATCCCTGGTGGGGGGTTCGGAAGGTTTTGGCCCTTAGTTGGCTTTTGAGCAACGACACGTCCGACTAATCTTGGGATCAAAACTCTGCTAATAGCAGAATATGCTTCGAGCACATCTTTCGAGGGGGTGACACCACTGATCGGTCTTGGTAAAGTGATGACAACCGTTCGCAGAGCCATAGCAGGTATTGAGTTGTCAACCGAATTTTCAGTTGTTAATGTCGACAGTCTCTCAATTAACGGAGCAATTATATTGCTGGGTAATTTGGCAACAAGGGGAGCAAGGCTATTTCATGTCAATTGAGTTCTACTTAGATCGAGGGTTGTTGGCAGACTAACCATTTAATGGCCAAATTTTGTACCTCTCCATTTTGATCATCCAACGTTCTAAGAATACCATCCACAGTCTTTGCCGCTGTATTGTAATCATGGTGGAGGAAGTCCGGTTTTCCACTCTCCAACACCTGGAAAAGATCATTCAATGACATGAATCTATAATCTGGATCCGCATCATGAAGTTTTGGCAACAAAGATGCAACTGTCAATGAAGTCGGATTGACGGTTATTGAGCTGGAAGCCATCTTCACTATGGACCGGCAGGGCAGGCCTAATGATGATAGCTAGAAGGATAAATGTGTTTTGTGGCAATATCAGACTACCATTTGTATTTTGGACACACTCGCAGTTGTTTTGTTGTTGTTTTTCTAGTTTAGATGCGGGTGTGAATGGGAGGAGCCTTGAGGAAGTAGAGCTCAGTTAGCTTATTACTTTTGAATCTTATTTCGAGTTTGAATTTCCAAGATCCCCAAGCAGGAAAGTGTTAGGAAATGTAACAATTAGTAACTTACTTGACAAGATAGTTATTTAGGAAGGGTTATTTGAAGTCGTAAAGACAGTGACAATGTACTCGTATGTTGATTTCGTTTGTAAAGTTGATTCTGTAGATAATTATTAAAGTACTAGGTAGTATGGGTCCTTGAGGTGACGGAAGAAGTAGTGGGGGTTGAGCTAGTACGTACAGTATCCCGTACAGTACTGTCTGTACTGTTGATAGGTCCATATCTAGGCTCTAGCACGTGCCCACGTAGGTAGTTGGCGGTTCTGGCTGTGGGAAGTGGGAGATCGGCTTAGTCACTTTGATAATTATTGCCTCAGGATGCAGAATGGTGCGGAAGCTCCACCTGCACCAAGCTTTGCTCCAGAGAAGCTTCCAATGAGACTCAGCTGGCGTGATCTTTTGCCCAACTACTAATAAATTGCCAGGATTTTTTCGGAACCTCAATTCACTCAATAATATTGTATTACCTCATAAAGTACGTACCTACATTTTCTATCCTTTCTCCCACACATCAATTGACATACACAACTCTTTCCTCAAGTTTTATCTATCAGCATAGTTGTTACTGATAGCGTTTTATTAGATTAACTATACCTGCCTTTCAATCTTAGCCCTCCGATAATGGCATTCTCACGAGCAGCGATTGTGCGCAACTTGCGCAACATTCGAGCACGCCCTCAATTCAACCAAGTCGCCAGAAGAGCTTATGCCAGTGGAGGTCATGGACAGGCAAAGTCCGGTGGTGATGCCGTCTGGTATGTTTTACCTTGTTCTTACCGACCATAACAGAAAGAATTCCTGAACTAATACGTCATACTTTAGGGCTGCCGGAGCAGTAGCCGTTACCATCCCGTCATGTTGGTTCCTGATCTCAAACAAACCAGAACCTGCTCACGACCATGGAGGACACGGGGATAGCCATGCACACGAAGAGCATGAGGAAGAGACGGAAGAGGAGGTAGAAGAGAAAGAAGAAGACAAGCCAGCCGAGTCCGAAGAGAAGACCGAGGAGAAGGAAGAGTCAAAAGAGTCCGAGAAGACCGAAGAATCCGACAGTGATGACGAGGCTAAGGAACAAGACACACCAGCTACTTCCGATGACGAACAAATTGTAGGAGAGACTGACAAGAACGTCCGCAAGTCAATTCCTGATGCAAAGGGCGGAAACAAAGCTCGATCAGAGAGTAAGGCTGCCATCAAGCAAGGCGAGGATAACTCAGAAGCAAAGGAGGGAGAGCCATCGGACAAGGTATGTTGATACACTTTGAAGGATTGCATTCGAGGTTAACATTTCTCTTCCAAGGCCGCTGCTTCAAAGGAGCCCCAAGGCAAGAACTCTCAATCTGGCAAACAAGAAGGTCTTTCAAACACCGATACAAAGCACTCCACCGATATTACCAATGACCCTACCAAGAGTAAAAAGGGTGAAGGTGCTCCCGAGACTGCCAAGGTCAAGGGAACCGTCGACCCAAACCGTCCCCAGGTATAAACTAAACCTAATTCGAACTTATGGAAAAGATTGTGCATCCTCAATGCTTTGAGCTCACGAGAGATACAGTCTTTCATTGGAAAGATATGAGCCATGCTAACGATGATCCCAGCCTGAGGAAGAATCTGATTCTTAAATATTCAAATTTATGATCTCGATTGAGATACAATAATGTGTCTTTTGCCCCGTCGTAATGTACATAATGTATCAAAATCCTTCACAAAAGTGTAATGATAGATTTCGGGGGGGCAATTATCATAAATTGCAGTTTCTTCCTCTTTGCTTCTTTCGCAATGTGTGCATCTCTTCATGGGTTCATTTGAATGTCATACTGGGGCGACTGTTCTACTGAATAAATACTGGTGCTATAGTTGTGTTAGATTCGAGACTGGGGAGCAAGTTGGGATAATAAAAAGTTTTTTGACTGTCTAGTGTCAGAATTATATGAACCATCCATGATTGCTGGTGGAAAGTCAATCCACAAAGTTCAGGTGAAAGTCGTACTCTGGGAGCCAAACTTAAGTGTCACACCTGCCAAAGTATCCATAAATTCCAGGAAGGGCAACTACTAGTCAGTGGTAGACTATATAGAAGGAGCGACAGAACCCCAGTGTTTATTGATGTATATTCCACCCCTTCACTTTTGCACTCCAACCCAAACATCATCAGAATTATTATCTTTGGCATTGAATCATTACTATAACAAGTGCATCGTAAGTTGAGAATTCCGTACAACGTGGAGAACTATTACTAACCTGAATGAACAGGCTCATTCATAAATATCGCTCCAATGACCATCGCAGCTCGCCGCGAGAAACGGAAGCTGGCCAAGAATCCTCCAGTCACGAAATATAATTTGGATCCAACTACTCCAGTCCATCGACAATCACTTGCAACTACTGCTCCTGCTCCTGCAATGGTTGAAGCCAGGCAGCCCGCTGTCACTCCTCAATTACGTTATGCCATTCCCGATCAACCACAAAGATCGGAGCTAGCTATGAATAGGAACAAGTCTGAGCATAAAGGACAAAGTGATTGGATGGTCCCGTTCTGCCACCATTCCGAAGGTGATCACAAAACTGCCTTGGAGGGATTATTCGTTCCTTGTCTTCTATATGGAAAGACTCACTGGCGATTGAAGAATGTAGCTCTTGGGCGAGATCCACATAACTTTAAATCTTCTGATGGTTGCAACTCGATGTGTTGGATCCATGGTGCTTTGACAGCTGCTTGTTGTCTGTCGAGTAAGTATATACTCGTGGAAATATTCATAATTCCTCCGCTAACTAACAAAAATAGTTGGTCTTACTCTTATACAACGTGCCCGGATTCGGGCCCAATACAGAATTTTAGGGTCTATGGGGAATGATGTTATCAAGTCATGTTTCTGTGGTCCATGTGTTATGATGCAACATGATCGAGAGGTCCGGGCTAGAGAAGGTGCTTTGGGGCTGGCGAAATACCCAAATGAAGCACAAATGTCTCGGATACAACCCAAACTATCGCAGCCAATGAGATATGCCTCAAAAGCACCTTCGGCCGAAAATCCTGGTATAGAAAGCAGGATATTCAATAAAGGAAGGCGTTATACAAATTCTGAGCTTCAAGAGGTCCCTGCAGTAGCTCTGAGTGCCAGTGAACATAGCTGTCAGGGTTCGAATAACCAGAGCACCGCTCAATATTGTGAAATGGAGGAATTGAAGGATCATATGCTTATGGAGCCGCATAGGAGAGCTATCAACTCCAGCGATGCCGGTGCCGCTGTTGATGGTACTACATCTTCAAAACAGAAGACCCGAGAAAGTTCAGAGAGACTCAGTCTGGGCAGTATTGCCAGCTGTAGTACATTTGCCGTTGAGCCGGGTTCGCCAGTTTCTTCAATGCACGGAAGCTATATACATGTTAAAGGTTGCGAAAAGCTCTCTAGAATGCCAGCAAGAGGAAATCTCTCTTATGTTCATGACTTCTCTGACTACTCCGCTACCAAGGTTGTATTAGATCATTATGCGAAGGAAGAAAGGCGTTTGCAGGAGAAGGGAACCGTCCGTTGTCTCGCTCACTTTAATGAAGATAAAGAAAATCTTCTGTTGCCGGTCTCGAATGATCTTGTGGTACCATTTACCGTATCCTCTAGTTCGGGCATGGTTAGGCAGCATACCTCTAAAGAATGTGTTACTGAAATGCCGCTTTCCGAGCTTGCCAACCCGCATCGTATCGACAGCTGCGCCGAATCAGTGGATTCCGCTTGGCTATTAGATATGCCAATACAACATCGAATTTCAAGCTGTTCCATTATACCTAGAAATCCATATAAAATCCGGGGGTCAATAAGACAACACCGAATAGCAAGCTGTCCTGCTACACCTGAGACCCCGGTTATTAGCACTCCTGAAAGCTTTGCAGAAAAGGACCGCATGCTAAGTTGCACCGTCGAGACCGCACCTCCATCAAGCTCACCTTCTCCGGTTATGCAAAACAATTACTCACCCTCTATCATGGATATCGTGGATGATTCCAATATCTCAACTCCTCTCATGCAATATTCAAAATACGGTCATCTTTTGGGCGAGAGTACTCGTGAATCCGGCTCGCCTATATCTAGATTATCATCGGGATCTCGAGCTTTCAGTTGTACGGCGATCAACCCTGTTGCTTCTCGCAAGCAACATTCCCTAGAGAGTTGCCCTGATCTTGCTGGTGATTGCAGTCCTGCTACGATCAGACAACATCGTATATCGAGCTGTTGTGCTTCGATTCCTTCCGGTAGCACGAAACAAAGCGATGGAGATGGATCTCATAGGTTAGAAGACTGTGACTTCACGACTGGATCTTCTACGCCCACTCCCACTAAGCTATATAGGTTTTCAAGCCATGTGGTTGATAGTCCTCAATCTAGTCGCAAAAGCTCAACGGTGATGGCTCATCTGATGGAAGATGGATGTCTACTTTCTGGAGTTGCAAGTCCTGTCAAGCAGCATCGTATTACAACTTGCGGTGACAATGACAGCCCCGGGAATTCGTCAAGTAATAAAAACGAGAACGGATATATGCCATCGGGCTCATCAACTCCTAACCCACGCCAGCATCGGGCCGTGAGCTGCATCGCTTCTAGTGCCATTTCGGAGTGCGACGAGCATTTACTTGATGATTGCGATTATGATTCTAAAATCAGCAGTCCCCTTTTGCAGCACAATGAGATAGACTGTGATGTAAGTTCAGTGTCGGGAGAAGAGCAGGGAAACTTGCTGGCGGTATTGGAAGAACAGGAACATTTACTAGAAGATTGTGCGGCAGATTCTGGCCCTTCCACTCCTCTCCGACAGCACCGAATTTCAAGCTGTGTCGTCTCTAGCCCCTCAAGTAACAGAAATTCAGTGGTAAAACAGCACAGAGCTTCCAGTTGCCCCTCTATCATACCGGCTGAGGGTAGTCGACCAAATAGCATGTCTCATGATTCTCTTCGACTTCCTGGTGGACATCTCGTCGATGTGAGTGATAATGATCAATCGACTCACACAAATTACGAGGATTGTCTACACACTCTGAATGACTGTATCACTCCAGCTGACAGAGCGAAAACGGAAGCCAGTGCAAGTCGGGACACTGAATATGAAAAAAATAGCACGAGGATTGCTCAGCATTTCAGCGACCAAAGCTCTGAATTTAATGAGAAGTCTACTATCAGAAAAGAAGGGAGTCGGAGACCTAGACTCAACGATTTAGCTTCACACGAAAGCGATGCTCAATATACACTTGCCCAAGTTCTCTCTTTAGATCAAGAGAACCCCTTTATCGGTGTGACTCCAATGGACGGAGATGGAACCATGAGTATGGCGAGCCGAAAAGGCAGCATCGCACCTCCAGCACCATTTCCATCACCCGCTGAACCTTATCCCTCGCCAGTCACGCCTTTGCATATTTCTGGCGCCTATCCGCCATCTATCGCGCCTTCGAGCCTAAGGAAAGATAAGAGGAGATTTCCTTCGGATCAAAGTTCGGCAGGGAGTGGGCTTGCTAGTTATTTTGGATTCGGTGGCCCGAAGAAGCCGTCATCAGGGTTGTGAGTGGCCACTCTTGATCTTGTAGAGATTGCGACGGCGCTGACATGCTTATAAGAATCGATGATGTTGATAGTAATACCGGTAGAAGAGTCGAGAGTGGAAGTGCAAGTAGGGTTAGGAGTATGGGCTTGGGGGTTGTCGAGCCGGTATCAGTTGAGGAATTGGAGCTGGAGGAGTTTCTGAGTTGAGCTGATTCGGAGATTGGAAGAATTGGAGCGACCATATTGTTAAGGGTGTACAGGGAAGATTATCGTTATTAGTAGTGGTGCTATGGGTGATATTATTGGTGATAGGGATGTGTATAATATTCATTCCATTACATTCTTTTGTGGTTTTCCAAAATGCCATTCATACATACAAACGTAGCTTCGAATTCGCAACATTGCATTTGAATACTAGAGTAGAGGTGAGTGAAAGGAAACGTATACTTTAATAAATTCATTCGTTATCATAATACATTCGTCCGGCTCACTTGGGCAGTAGAAGATCGGGAAAGTGGATATATGTAATACGTGTGTGTGTGTCGACAAGGAGGCTGGTAATTTATAGAGGAGTTGAAAAATTCCAAGAAAAAAACTTATGCACGACATACATATACACGCAGTCCAGACCCATCTGCAGGTCACACAAGCATATGCCCTGCATCGTACTCCATATATACCCCATAATCTAGAGAATGCGTCGCGCAATTACATTCACATTCATATTCATCTCACTTGATCATCGTCTCAAAAACACTCGCCCAAGATATATTTTGCAAGTCTTTGCTTGCTTGCTTGCTTCACTCGCTACTGACTGACTGAATGTATGGATGGATTCATTCTAACATGAAACACGAAGATTTTCTTATTACATTTAAAGATTTGATTTCTTGCCTCCCTCCCTTCCTTACTTCCTGCCTGCATGCCTGCCCGCCTGTATCTGTCTGTTTTTATGAAACCGATGAATACTATGCTTTCCCCTTCTTTGATGAAGATGAACTGGCGATACAGCGAATGCAGTGCCAGATCAAGATAAGACGAGAATGGACTTTGATAGAAAGTAGGAGAGATAAAATTACAAGAATTTCTTCCCCTTTCCCTTCCAATTCCCCCGCGCGCCTTGCCCGAATGCCCATTGGTTGGAGATGTGTGTGATGTGAAAAATTGCCAGATTTCTAGAATGATCTGGTATGATGTGGTATGTGAAGATTTCTTCGTTTTTCCTGTGTTGAAGGTTTTGTATTCTCTCCTTTGCATTGTGCATTTCGATTGGAATTGTGGGAGATGTTAATGTTGGTATTGGGTAGTTTCAAGATGGAGTTTACACAATGTAGAAGGAGAATGAATGATGGTCGCGAAATCGAGGATTGAAATTGATGGAGAGATTGTTAGGGGTGTGAAGAAACAAGGTATTCGATTCAAATCGTAAGTTATAACGGCAATTTAACCGACGGATTGGTAAAGGAGAAGAGGTTCGCCAACATTTTCGATTTCGGGGATTGTGCATTTGAGGTCGAAGGCTTTTGAGAGGACAATCTTGAAAATCTGCAAGTGGGTGGTTTGTTAGTTGTTGGTTTGGTATATAAACAATATGGCGTAGACCGCAAGCAAGTATGTAAGAATGAAATATAGATGTTCTTACCTTTTGAACGTTGATACTATGGCTTGTACTACTAAAAATCAGACTTGCGCGCATTGCTTTTGCGAATCTTCGAGCCTAATGTCGCATCTGTTAGCACGCCTCAAAACGAAACAAAATCGAAGAATTGGTAAAACTAACCTGATTTGAGATCTCCTCTTGATCCTCTCTCGGAAAGTTCACAAAATGATCGTATTTTGTGCCGACCAGGAACGGAATCGCGGTCTTATTAAAACCTCTCCCCTGCCTATACCACTCCTTGATACTATTCAAAGTACTCTTTCGCGTCAAATCAAACATGAACAATATAGCTACTGCATCGTTGCAAACGAGCGGTAACATATTCACGAACTCTCTCTGTCCTCCCAAATCCCATATTGAAAATGTAATCTCAGTATTGCGTATAGATATGGTCTTCTCCATGAAGTTAACACCCAAGGTTTGAATGTAATCTTCGTCCCAACTACCTTCTACATATTTGACCATTAAGGAGGTTTTGCCAATTTGAGCATCCCCTACCATGCCGACTTTGATGACGACACTATTCTTCGAGCCCCGTTGTTGCTGCTGTTGCTGATCTGTACTCGCGCCTGAACCCCGTGAATTTTGTTCTTGATATGCGTTGCCATAGTTGCCTTGACCTGACAAACCCGAAGCCGGGCGCGAAAGTGACGCGGGAAAAGTTGTGGGAGGGGTAGCATATCGACCATTTGTAGGTTCTTCTTGTGGAGGTGACGCAGGATATTCTTGTGGATATTGTGATGGGGTTTGGAAATCTGCAGATGCAGACGCAGAGTGTCGACTGTTATGCGTTGGCGTATGTGCTCTCTCCTCCATTCCGCCCATAGCATTGTCCTGAGGTGGGTCGGCTCCCTGATTCTCGTATGCGATTTCGGCGTCCATCGAATCTACTGCGTCGTGAAATTGAGCGGGAGAGCTCACTGGTAAAGTCGTAGGATCCAGGTTGACTGATTTATGGGTAATTATAGAGATGGATGAATGTGTAAGGTTACCTATGATTCTTTATAAGGGTGAGATCTCGAATTGGCGGCTGGAAGAAGGAGATCAACACTGGGATGTTATGGTAGATCATTCACGGCTGATTGTAGAGTAGTGTAATGTAATGTAGTGTAGTTTGTAAGTTATCTTGGTATCAAAAGTTGTTGATGAATCTACAAGCGCCGTAGATGAAAACCACCACGATGGGGAAGTCAAGGGATGAATGACTAATAAGATTCACGGAAAGATCTGAATTGTATTTTGGTTTGGACGATTGAAGTTATACCTGATGAGGAATATCCAGGGGGTTTCTTACAAGCTTTGGTACAAGGCAAGAAGACAAGGCAAGGCAAATAATTGTCAAGCGGTGGTTCGGCGCTTGGGCGTGCAAAAGGCAACTCGGGCAGGGCGACCAGAGACACCAGAGACACTTTATACTCGGTAAGAAAGGTTTCTGGGTAGGGAGGTAGGGGAGGTAGGGAGTTGGGGAGGGATTCCCTTTTCTTCGACGCGTCTTCCTCTGCGAGTTCTTTGAGTTTGTTGTTGATAGGATAGGATAGGATAGGATAGGACAGGATAGGAGAAAAGAATGAAGTTGTGTTTGTTTGTTTATCATTGATTTGATATTATCGTCAAAGTATTGAAGGAGAAGAAGGGGGAAAAGACTTTATTCCTAGATACACTTCGACCAGTGCTTCGTCTTCAAATTGGGTATTTATACTGTGTTTGTTTTTATTTTGTGTTTGTGTTTGTTATTGTTATTGTTATTGTTGTGTACCTAGTACTTACATCTGTATTAAATATATGGTCATTTTATACATTAAATCGAAACATATAACTTATACATATTATTATTAGCCAATTGATGATATTCTTGCTCCTATTGATATTTGGATTCCTTTTCCTCAGGTGGGGGTTCCATTCAGTTCAATAGCTTGCTTGCCATTGGGTTCTCTCGTTGTCCTCCTCCCCGTCTTTGGAGGCAGAGACAGAGACAGAGACAAGAGACAAGAGACCGCCTGGATTTTTGTCGGCTTTATTTTGGGACATTTCTTCTGATTGGCCCAATCTCTTCTGATCTATATCAACAATCCTCAAGTTTATTATCTCACACCTCTCTTTCACTCCGTTGAATTAATGATTCTCTGACTAAAGCTCAACTCCACCCCAAAACTCTACCCCTCAAACACCATTTACATATACGATAATGGAATCAATCGCAAGGAGTTTAAGGCCATGTGCCTCAAAAATTACATCCAGCGCATTCAAGACGGTTCCATCATGGAGATCCTCATCTTTTGGAGCTGTTCGAGCTTTCTCAGTATCTAGAGCTGGTGAGTTCATCTTCTTATCCAAGGTGCTCCGATCCCCGGCCTATGTCATAGAGATTCTATGCGCAGAGTGAAGAGACGGAGCCAATGTGGTCTACGAAGTATGGAGGAGCCTTTAGGATACTCGCCTTCTTATCGGGAATGTTTATTGGAGTCCGATTCTACCCATTTCATACCAGTCATCCCACCAATACTGACACTTTCTCTCTCCAACCGCAGCTTTCAACAAGAGGTATACCAAGGACCACGAATGGATTCTCCTTTCTTCCGATAACAAAACTGGCACAATCGGTATCAGTGATTATGCCGCACATGCTCTCGGTGACGTCGTTTATGTTGAGCTTCCCACCGTCCCATTGGAGGTCGGCGCTGGCGATGCCATTGGTGCCGTAGAGTCTGTCAAGAGCGCATCCGATATCAACAGTCCAATCACCTGCAAGATTGTGCAGGCTAACCAGATGTTGGAGGAAGCACCAAGCACTATCAATAAGGGTCCCGAAGACGAAACGAGTGCTGGAGGCTGGGTTGCCAAGGTTGAAGTTGGAGAAAAGGGAGTTAAGGATCTAGAAGGGTTGATGGACGAGAGTGCTTACAAGGCATTTATTGAGGAATAAGCAGCGCGATGGGAGTTAGTACATGACGAGAAATGAGGGCATGATTGCATGGACGGGCTGGGCATAGCATAGACGGGGGATTCAACTCAACATTGATGGATGTGTATTTGGGAATGGAGTTTATTCAACAAACATAAGGGTTGGAGGGCAATGACACTGTATTAGCTACATTTATATATGTATGCAGCTTTTAGCCTTCTTGGAACATACCTGAAAGCTATGGGTGGTCCAGCCAGTAAATCTATGTGAAGGAAAAGTTTACTTTTGTAGCCTATGTGTCTGTGCAAAAAGAGATCATTCGGCGCTTCATTTATGCGTTACCACCCTCCTTAATGACGGGACGATTAAGATTGATGGCCTCCAGTATTTTGGCAGCACCCTTGCTAACCAAATCTTGAGCAAGAGACCATCCAAACTCATCAGCATCCTTTGGTGTTAGGATCTCCTCTAACCTCTCTGATTCCACACTCTCTGTGCCATCAAGACTGACAACGATAGCCTTCATTAACAATTTTCCCTTTTCGATCCAGGTCGTCTCAACTCCAATCGGCACACTGCATCCACCCTCCAGAGTTCTCATCAAACTTCTTTCCGCTAACCCGGCCAATTGAGTCGGTTCATGTT